ATCTCGGGTCCCTGTGCTTGCACAGCAGGTGGCGAAACCACCGAGCTAAATCCCCGGCCATTATCAGAAAACTTATAATACATTTGCATGCTTGGGCAGGGGATTTAGCTGGTGCCACCCCCTACCTGGCAAGCAAAAGGTCCTGAGTTTGATCCCCAGTAAACCCCCCCCAAAATAAATAAATACATTTGCATGCTTTTTTAAAAACAAAGTAATACAGGGGCCGAGGATTTAGCTCAGTGGTACCGCCACCTGCCGTGCAAGCACAAGGTCCCAAGTTTGATCCCTGGTACCAAAAAACAATAAAACAAAGTAATACAGGGCTGGGTATTTAGCTCAGTGGTGCCTCTAACTGCCTCGCAAGTGCAAGGTCCTGAGTTTGATCCCTGGAACCAAAAAAATAAAAAGTAATGTATGTACTTAACTGCTTCCCCCTCCCCTCCCAGTACGAAGGATTGAACCTAGGGCCTTTGCACTGAACCACATTCCCAGTCCTTTTTATTTTTTGAGACAGTCTTGCTAAGTCACTAAGTTGCCCAAGGCTGGAACGTAGGATTCCTCCTCCCTCAGCCTCCCAAAGTTCTGGGACTATATAGGGATGCACTACTATACCCAGCTTACTTACTGCCTCTTTCATAAATTTAAAACCATAAATTACACAGAACAAAAATAACAGACAAGATAAAAATATAGTAACAGCTTTAAAAGTAATATTTCAAATAAAAAGCAACTTAGTATCAGAAGCAATATTGCTAACCCTCCAAAAGGTTTCAGCAGCAGAGGAGTTGACCTTTATTTTCATAGATCTTACAATTTTTCTATCCTTTTTAAGATTCTTTAAAAAAAAATTTATGAATGGTCAGCTACATTAAACAACAACAACAACAACAAAAAAGTACCCACCAAGTTGAGTTCTGGTGTTTTGGAGAGCAGTTTCACATATGCACCGCCACATTCTATCCCGTTTTGGAAATTAACCTCGTACCTAATTCCAGAAAGACAAGCAGAAAACCCTATGGTATTTTAGAAGAACAAATCTTGCAATGTTTTCCCCGATCCTGGCCATGTTTTATCACAGGTCATATACTTTAAGAATGATTCCACCTTCTACTGCTTCTAGATGGTTAATCAATCCCACAAAGCTAAGTAAAATTAATTAAATAAATTTTTGCAAAATCCAGACATTCATTTACTATCAGGAAGATGAATGACCAGTTGTTTCAAATATTCTAATGAGCAGGAAAAAAAATGCTTCAAAATGCTTGAATTCACTTAAATAACCCTATTATAATTTATATAATGTGATAAACTTTTCAAATAGAGTAATGGTATTTATTTTCTTTCAATAAAATAAAAATTTCTAAGATTACCACTTCAAAATAGCTTTTATCAATTAAGCATTTCACTTACTGAACAATGAGAGGCCTGGTATCAAATCCAAAGGGCTTGTTCAGTTTAGCAGAGATGGCGTGGTGCTTGGCCCGGGACATCAACACCAGTCCTTTATCTCCTGGAAGTTTTGTTTCCTTCATCTCATCTACCTCCCACTTTCCTACAAGACAACACAACAGAGCTCTCCATTCCTTCATAGCATCTCTGCAGGTCTTTTAAATGGTAAAAACTAAACTCAAAGTACACCATCCTAATGAATTTTTAACATATTTCATTTACCTATGAAAGTTCAGTTATTAGTATTAAATGTGTATATTTGAAAAATAGGATACAATATTTTAAAAATACATTGTATCTTTTATACCATTCCCAGTTAAAAGACCTTCCATTTCCTTGTTTTTGTATTTTGAGACAAGGTCTCATTATGCAGAGTTCAGGCTCACTTTGAACTCACCATGTAGCCCAGGCTGGCCTTGAACTTGTAGTGATCCTCCTGCCTCAGCCTCCTGAGTGCTAAGATTACAGGCACATGACACCATGCCTGGGCTCAAAACTTTCCATTTTTAAAATGAGGCACAAGGTGATTAAATAGGTTGAGCCCTATCACATTAAAGCCAACACAAAGATGGCACAATTCCCAAGGGAAAAATCTTAAACTATGCCTCCTTTTAAATAAAGTGGGGTTTGGGGTTTTTTTTCCGGGTACTGAGGATTAAACCTAGGGCTTCACACTGAGCTACATCCCCAACCCTTTTCATTTAATCTTTTTTCTTTTGTTTTGTTTTTTGAGATAGAGTCTTGCTATGTAGCTCAGGCTGGCCTTGACCTCACTATGTAAGCCAGGTTGGCTGGGAAGTTGGGGCAGTCCTCCTGCCGCAGCCTTCCAAGTGCTGGGACTACAGCTGTGCACCACCACGCTCAACCTTTTCTTTTTTCTTTTTGAGATAAACTACTAATTGCTAAACTGCTAAATTGCTCAGGTTGGGTTCAATTTGTGATGCTCTTGTCTCAGCCTCCCAAGTGCTGAGATTACAGGCATGCGAACCACCCCCAGCTGAAGCAGTCCTAAGTGATAACACGGAGAAAACATGCCCCTCGCTGTGCTGTTATATCTGGACCACATGGGATTCTCACCATCATATTTGGCAATTTCATCATCCGTGTCATCCTTCTTGGCTTTGGATAAAATCCACCTATAATCAGGACAAGACTCAAAATTAAGATTTAAATGACAGTTGAACTATGAAAAGAAACAGTACAAATGCTTAGAAAAAAGCAGGATACAGCCTGGTTTCTTAGCCTAGTCTGCCACTCTTCTTTCAACTTTTATATCTGTCACACAGGTAGTGATATTACATTGTATTTAACTCACAAACCTAGAAGAAAAAAATACCAACCCCATAAGATAATTCTACGTTTTTTTTAAGGACTTGAAAGAAAAAGGTTTCCAAAACAACAAAATTGAGGGTAAAAAGGGAAAAGGAAAGGAATAGACACAATAAGTTACAGGTTCCAAAAGACTATTTTCCTGAATGGATATGAACACTGGAGAAAGAAGAGCTAGACATTTCACCTGATAACATGCTATCCAAAAGGGGTCTGCTGTTCCACCTTATTTACATGATGTTTGCCTCTTACGATTTTTCTCCCTACAAAAGAAAGCACTTACCCTGACAAAGATCCTCTGTCAAAGGAATCAGCAAAATAAACTTCTCCTGTTGGAACTGGAGCTTTGTAGGTAACCTGTGTTAAACATAAAAATGAATTAACAATATTTTTAGCAACATTCCTGTCTTAGAATTTATTTTCTTGGCTTGATTTTAATTGTCACATTTTCACAGCAGGTCCTTGAATTCAATATATAGCAAGCCTACCTAGGAGGATCACTTGGGTATTTTGGTAAACTTTGCTTTTCCACTGAAAAGGATCCAAATGCCAGGCACTGTAGCACATGTTTGTAATCCCAGCACTGGGGAGGCTGAGTCAGGAGGCTCTCACTATGAGTTTGAGGCCAGACTGGGCTACATAGTGAGATCAAGGCCAACCTGCACTACTTAGTGAGACAGTCTCAAAACAAAACACTAAAAATTTTTAAAAATGGGGGCTGGGGATGTAGCTCAGAGGTTCCACCGCCTGCCTCGCAAGCACAAGGACCTGAGTTCGATCCCCGGTATCAAAAAAAAAATTATTTTTTAAATGAAAAGGATCCCGAATTATCTTCATCACTTCATCAGTCTTTATTTCATTCCATGTTGGGGGATTGAACCCAGGGCCTTGTGTATGCCAGGCAAATATTCTACCACTGAGCTACCCCACTAACCGTGTATCTTCATAACTTCAAGAGGTAAAAAGAGAGCTGGACGTGGCGAGCACACCTGTAATTCGAGCACTCAAGAGCCTGAGAAAGGAGGACTGCAAGTTCAAGCCCAGCCCAGAAAACTCTCAAAAAATTTTTTTAGAAGGGCTAGGGATACAACTCAGTGTGAAAGTCCTGGGTTCTCCAATAAATAAATAAAATTTTAAAATCAAACCTTTGGAAGGCCCGGGATTTGGCTCAGTGGTTCTGGCACCTGCCTCACAAGTGCAAGGTCCCGAGTTTGATCCCCGGTATCAAACAAACAAACAAACAAAAAATCAAACCTTTGGAGATGGAGGAGGAGTGCTGGTATCTGGTTTTGATTTTGAGTCATCCACCTCTTCAATGACATCATCAAGGTCATCCTCAATGTCGATCATATCATCATCATGTCCATCATGAGCCCGAACAACAGCAGTTCCAAGGACCAGTAAAACACACAGTAACCACTTCCCTTCCATGATCTACAAAAAGGGTAGTAAATTAAATGTGCTGCTCCTATTTTAAATTTCATATAAACCACTTATCCTTTCCTTCCCCTCACCCCAGTGAAAAATTAAGGCTTCCATGGGCTGGGGATTTAGCTCAATGGTTCTGTCTCCTGCTGCGCAAGCACAAAGTCCCGAGTTTGATCCCCGGTACCAAAAAAAAGAACAACAAAAAAAATTAAGGCTTCCAGCCAGGCATGATGGCACACCCCTGTGATCTCAGCACTTGGGAAGCTGAGGCAGGAAGACTGCTGTGAGTTGGAGGCCAGCCTGGGCTACATAGTAAGTTCAAAGGCAGCCTGAACAACGTAGTGAGACCCTGTCTCAAAACAAAAAAACAAATGGGCCGGGGATTTAGCTCAGTGGTTTCATCGCCTGCTGGGCAAGCGCAAGGACCCAAGTTCGATCCCTGGTACCAAACAAACAAACATAAATAAATAAATAAAATTAAGGCTTCCAAATCAAAGAGCTAAAAGAAACTCTTAAGGAAAGTGAGCCCAAAAAGATTAAGGGGTTTTCCTAACAATCAGGTAGATTTTTTCTGATACCGGGGATTGAACTCGGGTCCTTGTGCTTGCGGGGGCAGGCACCAGAACCACTGAGCTAAATTCCCAGCCCAAACTTGGAGCAGCTGTGTCCCCAGGACTTCTTTTTTTTTTTTTTTTGGTACAGGCAATCAAACTCAGGACCTTGCGCTTGTGAGGTAAGCAACAGAACCACTGAGCTAAGTCCCTGGCCCCAATCGGGTAAAGATTTGACTTCATGCAGGCCTGTAATCCCAGCTACTTAGGAGGCTGAAGCAAGAGGATCAACAAGTCGGAGGCCAGTCTGGGCAACTAAGCAAGACCTTGTCTTAATTTTTAAAAAATAAAAGCACTCGGGGCTGGGGATTTAGCTCAGTGGTTTTGCTGCCTGCTGCGCTAGCGGCAAGGACCAGAGTTCAATCCCCGGCACCAAAAAAATAAATACATAAAAGCACTTGGGCCTCGGATTTAGCTCAGTGGTTCAGCCATCTGCCTCGCAAGCAAAAGGTCCCAAGTTCGATTGCTTCCTGGTACCAAAAAAACAAAAACCTCCATCTGTAAAAGTCATCAAGTGTATATAACCTCTTTTCTAATCGGGGCTTCAGGGTTCCACAGCAAAATATTAAACCAAAGCCCAGCCACTCATAGCAATCTTCTACGCACTGGGGCCCTGAGTTATCTACATTGGGCTGTCTGGGTGGTAAGTGGGCCCTCTCCAAGGACCACAGATCTAAGAAATAAGCACTGAGTCACATGGACGTACAGCACAGTCTGGTAGTGGGCAGATTCTGTTTTGAGGCCCAAAAGACAGGGCCAAGAGGTTGGTAAAGAAATAAGTAGATGATACACAACTGCAAGTGCAAAACACACGCATGTACATACACAACACAGGGCACAGAGTAGCCTTTATTTTTTATTACCTCTGTCCACCCAATCAACCCTCACCTTTCCTGTTTCTGTACTGCTAGTACCAGGGTACCAATGGCCTATATTACTACTGGCTTCATTTCTTACTCTCTGCAGCCATCCTACACTCAAGTAACAGGTTTGTCACCTGTTGTGGCTGCACCTGGATGTCCCCCAAAGCCTCATGCAGTCTTTTTCAAAGGTAGCTGAGTCTGGAATGTGTGATGCTAGGGTTAAGGGTTTTGTGTGATCACAAAACCACCATTTGTTGAGTGATGGGTTTGGCACCACCCTAATCCCCGTAGTCTGAATAAGAGAAAAGGTGCAGAAAGACATTGTTAAGGTTCCTTGTTGGTTTTTTTGTGTTCTGCTCCCATAAACTGTTGCCCCTCTGCAACCCTGCCTTGGAGCCTGCTGATTATGGATTGAAACCTCTACAAACTGTAAGTCAAATAAACCTGTCCCCTTCAACTTTGGGTGTCATGTATTCTGTCTCAGCAACAAGAGAAAAGCAACTAACAATCAACCTGATACTTTTTCTTGCAAAACTCTGTGCCCTCTAGGTACCAGAGTGCTTTACCTCAGAATGCTCTACATGGTATTCCCAAGAAACCCTCACTCACCCCAGTCAAGACACTTCCCACTTCTTTCATGCACACCGAGGTTCATTGTTCATTTTTGCTTTCTGCTCTAAGGAGGCATGCCACAAACCAAACCAAACCAAACCAAACCAAACAAACCCTAAAACGCATGAAAGTCAGCTGTAGCAGCACATGCCTGTAGTCCCAGCACTTGTGAATGGAGGCAAGAAGATCACTGCAAATTCAAAGGCAGCCTATGCTATATAGTGAGTTTAAGGCCAACCTGAACTACACAGCATGATCCTGTCTCAAAAAAAAAAAAACCCCAAAATCATCACCATAACAATAAAATAAAATCCATGTAAATATTGTTTTCTTTTGAAAGACAAACTGTGGACTATGCTGTTTTCCTGGCCAATTACTTCTGGCCAGTGGTTTGCTTTCTTTGCTGACTATAATTCCTTTCCATGTTCTAAAACCAGCAAAAACCATAATTTCAACTAAAAGCCACTATGATAAAAACATTGTAAAAACACTGAAGTCTAGAGACAGGCATAGTGACACACATCTGTAGTCCCAGCACTTGGGAAGGCTAGAGCAGGAGGATCACCATGAGTTCGAGGCCAGCCTGAACTACACAGCAGGACCCTGTCTCAAAATAAAAAGTTTGAAAACTTTTTAAAAATGTCTTCAGGGCTAGGGTTGTAGCTCAGTGTCAGAACATGTGCCTAGAAGCCTCAAGACCCTAAGTTTCATCCCCAGCATTGCCAAAAAAACCCCATCAAATTTTACTAAAAATGTACTCAGGCATATTGTTCAACAGTCACCAAGTCTTGATAGGGAAAAGAAGTTAGAAATCCTGTGTATTGTGGATGGGATTATAAAATATTGACTGCTATGGAAGTTACCCCACTTTTGAGTGTGTAGGCAAAATAACTGAAAGCAGGGTCTCAAAGATATATACCTGCTCGCTCACATTCACAGGAGCACTATTCACAACAGCCAAGAGGCCAAAGCAACCCAAATGTGCACTAATGGAAGAATCAATAAACAAAATAAGGCACATACATACAAGGGACTACTGTTCAGTCCTGAAGGACATCCTGTCACATGTGATCACAAGGGTGCCCTTTGAAGACACTATGCTAAGGAAAACAAAGCAGTTACGAAAGGTCAAAATACTACCTCACTGCACTACATGAAGTATCTCTAACAGTTAAATACAGATACAGAAAGCAAAATTGTAAACAGTCTGGGGGAAAGAGTAAAAGGCGTTTGTTGTTTAATGAGCACACAGTTGCAATTCTGCAAAATGAAAAGTTCTGAAGATCTGTTTCACAATAATAGAAATACGTGGGCTGGGGATTTAGCTCAGTGATGCCGCAGCCTGCCTCTCAAACACGAGGTCCTGAGTTCAATCCGCCGTACCAAAAAAAAAGGTAAAACAATCTGAGATTAGCACTTGCCTAGAATATATGAGGCCCCAGCATCACAAAAAGTAACATAAATGTGGAAAGGCTGTTGTTGCTAATTAAAGCACAAACCAACGAATTAAAGACTAGATATTGGTGCTGGAACAGTTTTTCAAGGAAAAGCTAAACAGAACGATGGTCCGCTGGACTAAGTACTTACCTTCAAAAAGGTAAAGCTTATTTTCTTCTACAATATTTAATTTGTTGAAGTATTGTTGTTGTTATTAGGGACTGAACAGCGCAGCCCACCACCAGCCTCCAATGTGCCTGTGTATGGAAACAGTCTTCAGTAGGTAAGGTTAGATGCAGTCTCAGGGACTAGCAGAGCTGGTCTGCGTGGAGGAGGAGGATCAGGACAGACACAAGCACAGGGCAAAGGCCGTGTGTAGACACAGGCAGGGTGGCAAGTCAGGAAGACCCGACAGAAGGCCTGCCTGACAGCAGCCTCATCCTGGTCTTATGCCAGGCATCTGGAGCTGTGAGAAAGCCATCCGGGCAGAGTAAGACCACTGTCTTCAAGTGATTTTTGTCTGGGGTGCTTTTATGTTTTTTGTAGTACCTGGGGATGAATTCAGAGCCCTTCCATTAAGCTACATCCCTAACTCCTGTATTTTTGAGACAGGGTCTCACTAAGTCACTAAATTCCCCAGGCTGGGGCTGAACTTGTGATCCTCCTGCTACCATGCCTCATGAGGCCTGGTTTTTAAATCTGATAAAGTAGGACAGTTCGTCCCAAATTTGAGTAGGCATCAAGATCGCCTTGGAGGGAGGGGCTGTTAAAATAGATTACTAGTGGCCAGGGATTTAGCTCAGTGATTCCACCGCCTGCCTCACAAGCACAAGGTCCTGAGTTCCATCCCTGGTACCAAAAAAAAAAAAAAAAAAATAGATTCCTGGGCTCATCTCTGAAGTTATGACTCCAGGCTGGGCTGGACTGGGACTGGTTTGATGGGATTTTAATTAATTTCTAACAAGTTCCAAGGGGATAGTAAGGCTGCTGGCCCAAGAACCACTTTTTTTTTTTTTTTTTTTTTTTGGTACCGGGGATCAACTCAGGACCTTGCACTTGCGAGGTAGGCACCTGAACCACTGAGCTAAATCCCTGGCCCTCAGGAACGACTTTGAGAATCACTGACTAGGGTTTATGAATAATTTGTGTTTGCTGTCCAGTTTATAAAATATTTTCATACATTATTTCATGTAAACCTTGTATGAGGTATTAGTCTCATTTTCTTTTACACCTTAGGAACTAAGACTTAGTCCTTAATGAGTGAAACTCATTAGGACAACCAATAAGCATATCCAAGAATCCAAATTCCGGATTTCTACTGCACTAGACAACATGGAACTGTGTGGTTTCACACGGAGATGCAACAGAGACAGAGCACAGGAAGCCTCACTAGAAAATAGCAGCAAAGTAAATGATCCAGAACAGGGCAGCATCACAGATCTGATGACCCAGAGCAGGAACCAAGGGACTGAAGGGGACACAGGCTCATGGGGGAAGCAGAACTACCTGCCCCAATGGAAGGGAAAGAGCTCTTCAGTCAGGCAGAGGATGTCTCCATGCTCCAGGGAATGCACTCCTCTCCCACCACTTTTCCTGCACCCAGAGCTACAGAGCTGGACTTTGTGTGTTCACAGGGCCCAGAGGGCTGTGAAGGCAGCAGGAAACACCGCCGCCAATCTGCGCCAGTCCTTCTCACATCTGCACACTGGGAGCGTCCGCCACAGCCAATTTTTGGTGTGACGTTTCAACTACAATGCACCAATACTCTCAAGAAAACACCAGTTAGCAGATCTATTTTAGTTCTAACAGCCACTACTGAGCTGGTCTGTTTTCTAAATATTGTTAGAGATGTGTCCACATTTGCAAACAATTCAAAACAATGCATTTTAAGGTGATCTTAATTCTCCCCATAATGAATGAAAATCAGACATTAATGCAACAATCCTTACTACACCTACTACTTATACCAAAAGTGGTCCAAGACGTAGTACTTATATTCACCAACTGAGTGGAAATGTAAAAAGGATATTGTGCTACATGTTTTCTAAAAAAATGGGAGAACCCAGGCATGGTGGCACATGCCTGAAATCCCCGAATTCTAGGAGGCTGAGGCAGGAGAATTCTAAATCTGAGCCACCCTTGGCAGCTTAAGAGGTCCTGTCTCCAAATATCCCTTGAAAAAAAAGTTGGTGACCTTGAGTCTGGCAATGAGTTTTTCATACAACATTAAAAACTCTGTATGTTTAAGAAAAATTGCTAAGTTTATCCTGTATATTAAATTTAAAACTTTACCCCGTGAAGATACAAGAGAATTAAAAGACAATCACAAACTAAAAAGCCTGGCATGGTAGTACACATCGGTAATCCTGGCACTTGGAGGATTGCCGTGAGTTCAAGGCCACCCTGCACTACACAGCAAGACCTTGTCACAAAACCCCCTAAAAAGAAAATATTTTTGAAAAGATGTATCTAGTGAAGGACTTGTTTTAAAGTACACAAAAACCTCAAACTTAAAAATAAGAAAATCCAATTAAAAGATGAACAGGACAAAAAAAAAAAAAAAAAGTGAACAGAAAGGGCCAGGGATTTGGCTCAGTGGTTTTGCTGCCTGCCTGGCAAGTGCAAGGTCCTAAGTTTGATCCCTGGTACCAAAAAAAAAGAGAACAAAAGTTGGGGTGTAGCTGTGATGGAGCAGGAGCTTAATGCTCATGAGGCCCTTGGTTCAGTCATCACCACCAAAAACAAAAACATGGAAGCACTAAAAGTTCCTTCAACAGGTGAGCGGATAAACAGACTGTAATACATCCACACAATGAAATACTGTTCAGCAACTGAAAAAAAATGAGCACTCAAGCCAGAAACAGACACAGGTGAATTTTAAATGCATTTTTTTTTTTTTTTGTACTGGGATCAAACTCAGGACCCTGCGCTTTCAAGGCAGGCGCTGGAACCACTGAGCTAAATCCCTGGCCCCTTTAAATGCATACTGATAAGTATAAAAGACAGTCTGCAAAAATGACAAGCTGTATTATCCCAAATATATGACATTCTGAAAAAGGAAAAACTATAGACAGTAAAAAGGACGGGTTGCCAGGGTTTTGGGGAGGCGCAACAGGTGAAATATAGAAAAAATGTTTAAGGCAATGCAACTGTTCTTTTTTTTTTTTGGTAGTGGTTCTTCCACTGGAAGAAAGATAGCCTTTTCTTTTGGTACTGGGGATCGAACTCAGGGACCTTGGACTTGTGAGGCAGGCAGCGGAACCACTGAGCTAAATCCCTGACCCTTCCAGCACATTATTTTATTTTATTTTGGTACCAGCATTTAGCTCAGTGGTTTCACTGCCTGCCTCGCAAGAGCAAGGTCTGAGTTCAATCCCCAGTACTAAATAAATAAATAAATAGTGCTCCATGTGTAAATACTAGTTTCTCCAGTGTGAGAAACTGAAAGTGTGAATAAGGACTAAAAGGTATAACAGATAATGTGAAACAGGAAGAAAAGGGACAAAGGGGAAGGGGAGGTGGGAGGGGTAGGGGAAAGGAGAGAAGGGAATGAAATTAATATGAGAAAATGAAAACATGGCAACAAAGTCTTTGTAAGTAGGAGGGATGGAGGGGTTGAAGGGAGGAGGGCAGGGGAAGGGGGAAAAATAAGAACCAAGAGATTATGTAAAGGTGCAAATTTACAGAAAGAATGGCTGCTATCAAGGAATCAACCAATAACCAATGCTGGTGGGGCTGTGGGGAAAAGAAACCATGCTCCACTGTTGGTGGGAGTGCAGACTGGGGCAACCACTGTGAAAATCAGTGTGATTTCTCAAAAAAACTAAAACTAGAGGTCCCATTTAACCCAGCTATTCCTCTTCTTGGTATCTTCCCAAAAGAATTAAAACCATCATACCACAGCAATATATGCACATCCATGTTTATAGTGGCACAGCTTGTAATAGCTAAATCTTGGAAACAGCCCAATTGCCCATCAACCAATAAGTGGATAAAGATGTGTTTTGTGGGGGCTGGGGATTTAGCTCAGTGGCACAGCACCTGCCTCACAAACACAAGGTCCTGAGTTCAATCCCTGGTATGGTTTTTTTTTGTTTGGTTGTTTTTGGTACTGGGGATCACACTCAAGACCTCATGCTTCCAGGTAGGTGCTATGCCGCTGAGCTAAATCTTCTGCCCAAAAAATGTTTTTTTTTAATACAGTGGAGTGCTACTCTGACATAAAGGATGAGCTTCAGACCTTTTTTTTTTTTTCTTTTTTTTGGTACCACCGAACTTGGCACCTTGTGCCTTCAAGGCAGGCAGTGGCACTGAGCTAAATCTCCGGCCCAAGACCATTTATAGCTAAATGGATGGACCTTGAGACCATACTCTCAGTGAAATAAACCGCACACGTGTTTAAATACCGCATTTTCTCTGGTGTGAGAAACAGAAAGGAAAGGGGGGCTTGTGGGGAAAATGGGACAAAATTAAAATAAAATTTATTTCAAAAATTTTAAGTTTTGTGGGTTTTAGACATCTGAGATAGTCTAATAATCTTCACAAGAACCTTACACCCCTCTTTTACATATAAGACAATTAAAATAAATTATATTAATTTGTCCAAAGTCATAGCTAGAGATATGTTTATGAGCTGAAACTCAAGTCACAATCCTTGGTGAGCTACTTAATAACTTGTTATTTCTTTTTTTTTTTTTGGTACCGGGGATCGAACTCAGGTCCTTGTGCTTGCACAGCAGGCAGCGAAACCACTGAGCTAAATCCCTGGCCCAATAACTTGTTATCTTGGCTCAATTACTAAATTCTGGGCCTCAATTTCTTTATCTATAAAATGATAATAGTGCTACCCTTTAGGGTTCACGTATAAATAAAATGCAAGTAAAACTTAAACATTTAAGGGAGGAAAAGACACAGCACCCCGAGTGTTGGTCAATGAAAATGTGTAACCCTTTTTTTTTGAGACAGGGTCTCAATATGTACTTCAGGCTAGCCTTGAACTCAAGGCGATCTTCCTGCCTCTCTTCCCAAGTGCTGGCATTACAGGTGTGCACCACCATGACTGGCTGGATATCCCTTTAAAAATAGATCTATATTGCCTTATTTACATAGTTTGGATTGTATTTTCATTGACAGGAACATTAAAATAATTTTCCATAGTAGTTTTTAAATAAA